TGAGTATATTATCTTAATTTAAATAGAAAAAAGTAACACTAAAGTTTAAAAATAAATAATTTAAATAATAATTTTACACCTATAAGTATGATCTTTTTATATATTACACGAATAATCTTAATGTATGTAATTTTTTTTGTGTAATCTGTGTAATTTTTTTGATAAAAATCAATATTCTTTGATATACTTAATGTGTTTTATGTTCATTTATAAAACATATCATGTCAATAGACTGCATTCTGGCTTGCAAGAACCTTACAATCCCGGGAGATCAATGCCGATGGATAACGAATACGCTTACAAGCAACTACTACGTTCAAATTCGCTGCCGTTGGACGCAGTGCATTTTTTCCCTTATGTGGATAGTGCGAGCTGGCTATACCTGGATCCGAATCCCATTTTTCCCGTACGCCTACCGAGTCTGGATTGCGACGCATCGTTAATGTCCGAACAGCATCGTCACCGCCACCACCATCATTATCATCACCGTCACCGCAGCTGCCAGAGGAAACATCGTCGAGTACTGAGTGATCCCGGAAAATGGAATGCCAGTATTCGAATGGACGCGATGCGACACCGGCGAATATTCAGCAGCACCGGCATCGATCTTATACGAGCATCAATAGACGAGACCAATGAAGATAATCTATCGCTTGAAGAGGAGACAAGAGCGTCGACCTTCAGAAAAGTGCCATGGCACCCTAATTTGCATATGCTTAAAATTAGGAGAACGTAACGCAACTAAGTATACGATTGCGACAAAGAACAAAAGCAAATGAATACTTTGAGAATCTAAAAGAAATCTTGGAAAGATTTGAAGATTTAATCTGTATAAAAAATTTTGAGAATTTTGTGTTATTTAAAACTTAATTGTTAAAGTGCATGTTAATTTAAAATTTATGATCGTACTGTTGTCATATTGTAAAGTTTTTTTCTAGTTACATAATAATCCAAAATAAAATAATTCCATAATTATATAATATTGCAATCTATTATAAATTGATTTAAGCATTATGAATATTGTTAAATTGATAATTTACAAATGATACAAATTTCACACATTTCATGTGTCATTTGCCTTTGAACAACTATGACAAATTATTTCTATGAAAAATATTCCTCGAAAAAAATCTGAACTCGTGATAAATCACACTTGTTCTAATAACGACTTAATTTTACCTAATTTTTATCTAATTTTCTCTGAAATATAATGCTCTTTTGCAGTGACCTCTGAGAGTGCGATATACCGTTCGATTTTTCATGTGCATATTTCTAGATTTTAAGTTCACGCTATAAGTAATATACAAATGATCGTTATAGACGTGCGTCGTAGACGACAACGATGCATTCCGTCGTCTCTATCGCGAGAGCCATCAGAATTGTATCGCATTCGTGAGAACGATGAGCGATGCAATACTTTGTACTTCATTAATTAATGCTGAAAGAGTTGTAATTATTATTCGCGAGCGTATATTTTTGTACATATTTATTGCAAACATTTTATATATGGATCTGACACGATAACAGAATTCTTGATAAAACTCCGTTTATTACATCTAAAGCTAAGACTTTACTTATTATTGGTTATAATCTAAGAAAAGTAATAAAATTTCTTATAATATATAATTTTCCTCTCTCCCTAATATTATAAATGTTTTCATACATTACTTCAAATAAGAGAAGAGCGTATCGATATATGGTACATATAATCATCAAAGTCAGACATGCATATATTTTAAAATAACCTTATTGTAATCTATAATTATATATTTTATATATATAATAAAACATATACATATATGTATAAAATATATAATTATTCGTATAAAAAACAACTATTTCATCTACTATTAATGGGTTATGCAAATTTTACTATTATAAAATACGTAACTAGTATTTTTTTATTTTAAAAGAACAAATAAAAAAATATTTTTTTAATCTTAAAATTTACATTCTTAATGATTAAGATTATTTGTTTACAATATTTTCATATTCAGATTATTAATTATGAAAGTAAAAGAAATTTGTAAGATTTTTTGCAAGATTTTTAGTAAATGTTTAATTTAAAAAATTTTCTCTCATAATATGATTGTGATAAATGGAGTTCTGCAGTATCTAGTTAGAAAGTTAGGTCTCATTATTTTATTACCTTATAAGTACTTAATAGTTTATACCTATTTTGCGTACGAAAAAAAAAATTATTTCGTGTTTAATGCTTTCCTTTATCAACGTACAAATACATATATTATATTTTTTGAACGAACAAATAGTAAGGCAGTGCCGATTTAGTTAATCCTTTTTAAATGGTAAATAATGTAAAGAAATTAATCGGTTTTAACACTAAAACATGTTTTGTTACGGAAATGACACATTGGGTATTACATATCTAATTCAATTTTTAATGTTAATAACTTTCTGTTCGTTCATCTTTTCTGTCGTAGTTTTTTTGTTTGTTCATTTTTAAAGCCTTTAAAAGCTTTAAAGCTTAAAAATAATCCGCAAAGCTTCTGATATAATTAAAGATAATATTCGTGAGAAGAGAGAGCCTCAAAGCGTGATTAATTATACTATTTATTTTTTTACTTAACAATGGCGATAAATAATATTATTAACGACACCGATATAGAACTAAGCAAGATAAATGTTAAAAATAAAATTTCAAAAATTATACGTAGATAATAGAATAAAAAAGAATACATCTGTTAAATCGATTTTTGCGAATCAAATATATTTGATTTGTTTATGGCACGAAAACATAACTATCTGAGAAGTTGTTTGATAAATCTAACATAGCATGATACAAGGGCATTAAAGGTAATGAAATGCAACATACACACAATAAATTCATTTCTTTGAAAAAGAAAAAGTGTTCTGTAATATTATAACAAATTATATTGATTTATAGTAAAAGTTCTTTCAAAGATGTAGATATATCATTGATGTATGTTCTTTGTGTATATATATGAGGTGAGGAAAAAGTCCGTACCAGTAAAATACACTCAAATCAAAAAAAGTGAGCCACTAAACTTTTAGCCAATATTTTCAATATTTTTGAATAGCGATAACTCGGCGAAAAATCATCGTACCCCTCCCCGAGATGTTTAAAAAAACGTTTTAAACTTGAAATTTCTACTTTTCAGATGAGTAGGTACTTCTAAAACCGGTCTTACTAATATTTTGTAAAGTTACACAAACATAAATGAAGATGCGATAAACCTCAAAATTTTTTACAAAATTTAAGAAGTTCGACGGCGCAAACTAAAAATTGTGCATAAATGCAGTTTATAGCTTTCGAAAGAGTGAATCTTTACCTTTAATTTGCTTTTCTTTTATCTCTGTACCATCGTTTTCACCGAGTTATTCAACGTTAAAGTAAAAAGTTATTTTTACTTCAACGTTAAACAACTTAGTGAAAAAAATCATATAGAGGTCGAAAAAAAGCCAATTAAAGGTAAAGATTCACTCTTTCGAAAGCTGTAAATTGAGCACAATTTTTAATTCGTGCCGTGGAACTTATCAAATTTTGTAAAAATTTTGAGGTTTGCCACATCTTCATTTCTGGGGTAGGGAGGTACGATGATTTTTCGCTCAGTTATCGTTATTCAAAAATATTAAAAATATTTGCTAAAAGTTTAGTAGCCCACTTTTTTTGAATGTGAGTGTATTTACCTCAAAAATAAGGCATTTTTAAGAAAAATGTTTCATACAAAAGTTGTAAGATTGAAAATGATCAATTTAATTCACCTTGAGTAGCGTCACCCAGATCAGGTTAAGATCATATTTATTTTTTTTAAATAAAATATCCTATTTTTAATTTCAGAATTTGATAGCTGGTGTCAAAAATTTTTCAAAGCACCACACAAAAATTTATTTTTACTAAGTACTTCTCGAGTTAACTTAAAAAAGTACAAGGCTTGAAAGTTACAACCTTGTTAAGATCAAGGCCATTGAAGGTTATTTCACTTATTTTCATTTTTACACGCACATAAAATTAATAATAATACAACTTTTATAATAAAATATTTTTTCTTGAAAATGCTTTATTTTCGAGATATTTCACCTGTCCAGAATTTTTTCCTCACTTTGTATAGGGTGTCCCATGATTCACCTGATGAATTTCGTGGACAGATAGAGCGGACTAAGCTGAAACGGAAAGTCTTGTATCGTTTTACAATTTTTGCAATAGTTAACAAGATTTAATGTCTAAAGATTACCGAATACGCGCATCCGCCCGGCCTACTAATACTTAGATACTATTACCGAGTGTACGCTTATTGGTAGCTCGGCGTGCGAGCTGTGAGGAGCGGTGATAGCCTGGCAACGGCAAACACGCCGTCATGACGTTTAGAGGCTCGCGGCGGTGTGCACAGCACAGGGCATTTGTCAGTCGCGTTTGTCAGACGCGCGTATTCAGTAATATTTAGACATTAATATATCGTTAACTATTGCGAAAATTGTAAAATGGTACAGGGCTTTCCATCTCAGTTTAAGTCCTTTCTACCTGTCCATGAAATCCGTAAGATGAATTATGGGATATCTTATATATCTGTCTGATATTATATTTTTGCATATATAATATACATACACATACGCGCGCGCGCGCACACGCACACATTATATATATATGTATACATTTTTATATATGGAGTAAGAGATAAACAAATGCTAGCATTTTTTAACTCATTAAAGGCGTCCATTTTATTTAGAAAAAATTTATTTTTAAGAAAAATTCTGTAATAATTTTATAAGTATGATTTTTTTTACATGGAATTCGAAAAAAGTAGAACAGAAATAATTTCAAGAAATCTAAGTGAAACAAGTAATCTAAAATCAGACAGGAGATTATCTGGAACAACAATAAGAATGCAGGATCTGCGGGATCTTACTAACGCATGCTAAAAAATTAATTTTATGTTTAAAAGATCCCTTATAAATTATCAGATCTTTCCAATATAAGTTCTTTCTTCCAATATAAGCACTCATCGCAATATTAAAAAAAAAGTAACATAAACCAGCCTTTAATGAGTCAACTAATCGATACATACGCCCTCCGTATTCGTTGTACAGTGATTAGATCCCGATTAGTCGAGACCAACGTCATCATGAGGAGGGGGATTAAACTGACCAGTCCCAGCACCGGGAAAACCAGGCATAGCTCCCGGGAAATTCATCCCGGCAGCGCCAAACATGTCAGCACCACCGAATTTCGAAGCCATCTTATTGATAAGGGCCATTACTTTGGGATTGTTTTGATATTTCAGGACATTCGTCGGATTCATGGAAATATCCTTGAAAGCCTCGGCCACTTCTGGATCCTGCACATGAAAATGATCAAATTGCACATCTTCACGCATCCTCAAAATTCATAAAAATTATAAAGGGGAGACCGGGACACCATGAGTCACAAAAATTCAAACAGTAAAAAATACATTAAAATGTAAGATTTTTGGTCTCAATTTTTTATATTAAGGGATAATGTATATTTTAAGATTTATTGAAAATTTTTCATAAATATTGATTTGTTTTTTTTAAATAAAAATCGAAAAAGAAATTTTTAGAAATGACCCCCATGATACCCCATGCCTGGGGTATGTACCCTTATCTAAAGGTATACACATGTACCCTTAGACGATCTTCTTTTATATTTTCTAACCATTTCTATCGTGTTTTCTGAAAGAATTTAAAAGAATTTGTATTGCCCAATTTCATCACGATTTCGGTAGTTTAGCTGCGTTTTTAAGTCCGAAAAAATTTCGTAGTTCAAATGACTACAAATATGATATGTATACAAGTAAATATAGAGTACATACGTAATTCATATTAAATTATTTAAAGCATTCAGCTTCGATCATTATGGCCAGTATTTCCTATTCATTGAGTTTTAAAAGACTATGATTTTTTTCTTACTTACCTCAAAGGCTTGACGTAAGTCAGGATCTTTAAGAAATTGATAGAAATCTCCTGCGCCGGGGAATGTACTGCCCGCATCCGTTTGAGAAGTTCGCGTATTTTCCTCACGAGCTTTGGCTGCCTCTCGTGCTTTCCGCAATCTTTCTTGTCTCTCGCGTTCTAATTTTTCTTGCGTCTTCCGTTCCTTCTTTCTTTTGTGTTCCTCTATCTTTCGTGCCTAATACATAATAATTGTCTAACATTATCTATTCTTTCTGTTAAAAAATATTTATTTAACTGTATCAGAAGAACTAGACGACACACACGAGGAACTAAGAGAATCACAATTTACATACTGCAAAATGTTTATTCTTATAAAAAACAAAATCATTGAGAATTCGTAGATTTTTTAGGTGTTTTTATTTAAAATTCTAGATAAGAGATCCAGAATTAGAAAATGTTAAATGCAATTTTGAAAGGGGGAGGGGTGGATCTTGCTTCATACGGGAAGTCAAACACTTCTCAGCAGGGAGAGGTGGACCTCGCTTCGCAGTAGTCATTCTCTCAATGTATTCGAAACGTGCAGTTTAAAATTTAAACTTTAAATGAATCAATCCTTTTGATCACAGAGTAATATGTGGCAGAATGAAGCTATAAGCTTGGCGGCGAACGATTCAATTTAAATTAAACATAGGCGTAAGCAAATGATCACAATATCTTTGCAATCATTTACAGAAAAGAGCGATTTACTGTGCACCTTTAGAAACGCGTCCAAATCTTAAATTATAATGACGTGAAGCATGCCTGGCTGAAAATATATGTATACATATTGTGTGACCATATACAATTAACGGAGCTTATTATAGACCGCCAAATGTTCCATTTAACCACGTTTTTCATTATCTCTAAAAAAAATACTGTAAAACTTCATACTAACAAACTAGTATTCATAGTCGATTCTTATTTTAAAATAATATTATATAGTCATAACTAATTTAAGATGCTAATACGTCTCTGCGATTGGTTTATGACATTTGGAGATTATATTTAAGACAATCTCTCTTCTTAAATACATAAAAATTAACTATGGATATAGCCGACCATAGTCTCATAATGCTAGCGCAAACTTTGAAAAATGCACATTTAGTTTTTACAAATTATTTTAATGGAAGCATACTTTATGAAATGCATTAAATATCATAGAAAATTAAACGATTACAAAAATCTGACTGCAAATAACACAAGATATTGATTAATTTTGCAAATATATGCTTTTCCGAGTATAATTAAACTTCATCAATATACATTTCAATTATAATATATTAGGATAAAATTTTTTTCAAAATCAAAAACTATTGTTTTTCTTGAATTCTCGTAATTTTACACAGAAAAAGATTGGTAAATATTGCGTACTGTTACATATCCTACAAGATAAAAATATAATATATATACGTTAAAAATTTCTCACACACGCGCGCCCACGCACGCACACACGCACATGCCGTGCAAGATATTTTCTTTACTGGAACGTAAAAGAGGTAATTAAACATTTTTTTCAACTACGAATCTAATTAACTAAAAATATAGATTCCCGCGAGTATTAGTGAGTTTCCGCGGAAAAATAAAGACGAAGTAAAAGGGAGAAGAGGAAGAGAGGATTTTTGCACGGCGGGCCACCTTATACGGATGCGACCCGGGCTTCTAAATATAAAGGCGCCTACGGTTCTGACGTTCCTCTGCGTCTGTGCACGTGTATTTCGGCAAATCTCATCTCTCTGGTCGTATGTTACGCTTCGGTTAGTTGTCTTCACCAATAAAACAACAAAATTATCGTCTTTATATTCATAATTAATAAACTAAAGAATGTACACGAAATATCGGAAACTTATTAGCCATCTCAGCACTTATTATGCATTATAGTTCAAGAATTTAATTATTATTTAGAAAGAATGATACTGACATTTAGTCGTCCAAATTAGTCATTAGATATTTTTCATACTGTAGATTAAATTTAATATAATGACAATTACAAGACTCTTGATATTCAGATATAACAAAATGATACAAAGGCAAATGAGAGTCAAATCGTAATAACAAAATATCTTCATAATTAAACGCAAGTATATTAATATAAAATTTAAAATATTATAAAAGTTATAAAGTTAGCGCTACTAAAATACAAAATATATTGTTCATGTACAAATTTAACATGTTTCAGCCATGTATTCAGGCTCTTTTCAGAAATACGAAATTATAACGCAGCAAATCGCTAAGTATGACTATGACGGTTTTGTTAAAAATATAATTTTAAAAAATTGAACTTAAAAATAAATATAAAAATAAAGAGTAAAGTTGAGATGAATGGTTGATCAAAGAATACAAAAATACGAAATCACTTGTCAAACGGTTGGCTGACCGATTGAGAAAATTTTTCATTATTCTCTTGAAAACAAGAAATTATGTTATATGTCTTCTCTGTATTATGGTATATTAGACAAGCTAATTACGTTTCTCTGGTAAAAAAAAAAACTCACCTCTGCGTCAAAACATTAAATAAATCCAAAGTAAAAAATCGTTAATAAAAAGAAGTCAACAGATGTAAAGAATCTAATCAAAAATTTCTCGCACACAAAATCAATCAATAAATTTAGTAATTTCTTTCTGATAAAATTTCGAATAGTAACTTAATATTCCCAAAACGTTAGAAAAGCGAAAGTACAATTAGAATTAAAATCCAAATTTTAGTGCTAGAGATAAAATTTAGAAATTTAAATTCAGAACTTTGAATAAATTGTTAGAGTTCTTCATATGTACCTAAAATTTTTATGGTCAAATTTTGTATTTTATCTTTTCATTAAATTATTATACGTCTAGTGCTAAGTGCATGATAACGCGAATGTTACTTTAATCTCTCGAATAGGCCAACGATACTAATGAGAAAGGTAGTCGAAAATAGATGTTTTCATACATAAAAAAAATGGGTAAAATAAGTCGTAATAGAAACTGTGAAGTTTCCGGAGATGACGTTCAAAGCAACTTCATCGCGCGAATCGCAAGAACTAGATCATCAAAGCGGTTAACGGTTTACGCTGCTACCTGATCCAGATAGATTTTTCTAATGAGCTAGAAAAATGTTGAGTTATTTTTAAATGGGCGTTGATATAGTCCGAAATTTCTAACCGCGTGCGACATTAGCTCCAGAAGATAAACCATTATACCAAATGTATATACACATATGTATACAATATACATGGTGTTTTCAAATTTGCGCCCGCGAAGTATTAGATGTTGAACTTAATTCCTGTCGTTTTTTCGATGATAAAAATAATCGACTGTGGTTGGTTAATTTCTTACAGCTTGCAACCCTATATATGTATAACGGGTTCTATTCAAAACGTCGTAAGTTGAGATCAGGAACAATATCGAATTGGTGTAGTATCATTGCCAATCCATTCGCGGTGTCCAAAACCAAATCGTTAAATAACGTTAAAGCAAGTACATTCGTAAAGTCAAAAGACAATTCTGACAGCTGTTGATTGACTCTGGCCATTGGCCCTCAATGGGCGCATTCAGCGGACTCAACAATTAAGTGAGCGCTCGCTGTTATTGGGGTATTCTTCTAGATCTAAAATTCTGATTGGGACGGTAGAATAAAGGAAAAGAAAAAAACGACTATCATTGTCGCTACATGCGTGAAATAAGAAGATGAAGAAGAGAGAGGGGCGTCTATCGAGGTTTGACGGTAGTGACAATGCCAGTGTCTCGCGAGCTAGTTGGTGTTGAGGGCGACGACGGGATAGAGAAGTAAGAGAAGACGAGCTGTGTGCCAACCCTGGCCCCGGCCGATCGTGTAGTGTCTAGTGTGACGAGATGACGGGTGCGCGGATGAGACCCGCGCTCGTAGGCCTCCTCCTGAGCTTTCTAGCCGTTGCCTTACGAGGTCAGTAAAACCGTCAGAAACCCCACGCGGATAAAACCCTAACATCTTGAAGATTGAATCGTACCTTGAGTTGGAGATCCCGCGAACATAATTTTATTCTCGTGCGGTCAGTGACTTCGATCGATTTAAATTGATCGGTTGATCCTCGTAACCGAGAGAGAGAGAGAGAGAGAGAGAGAGAGAGAGAGAGATATATTCAAAGTTTCTAACTTATTTGTCACTAAGTGTGTTGTATTTTGGAACTTGCTACAGAATTTCTTCGCAGTAAACTCGTATGAATCTTTATTAATCTTGTCATCCTGTCGATTTCAAATATTACAAGTTCTTCTTGATTGTGCTATAACCAAATTGTAACAACTTAAATGTTCAAACCAATTTTGAACTGCCATACTGATTCTACAATTTAAATTATGTGAACGGAGTTGCAGTAGTAAGGAGAAAAATGTGAGAAAGATAACTTCGAAACGGGCAATTGACATCAATCGTCGACGACAATGAAATCGAAACGTTGACGAAACTATGACGATTGACTGACGAAGGTCAATGTTACGTAAAGATATCCGGAGCGCGTCATCAGTCCTTTATAGCTTTCTTATTTCTATACCTATATGCACTGATGATTCAGAATTTAATATCTTGTAGAATCTCTATTAAGAATCTTGATGATTCTAAACAATCCAATATTTCCAATATTTACAATCCAAAATTTTTATCAAAAATAAGATTACACATCTCTATCTGTCCATCCCTTACATTTAAACATAAATTTTTGTCATATATATAGTTCTATTTATCATATAATTTAAATAAATGCGACAGTTTTGCAAAATATTCATCACAATTTTTCATCGATAATTACAAAATATGTGATGCCTTTTAAATATTAAGTATTATATTTCAAATAAATTCTGTTTTGGGATAAAATATTTCACTTTATCACAATAACTGAATAAACGAAATTGCTAATGGCTGCAGAAACACCCAACACATTGAACTCAAAGTTCAAATAAAAGTCGTCGATTCAAGGATTTGTTATTTTAGGAATCGATGAGAGTTGGCTGTCATCAACCCGCACGATAATTACATAAGAAACCGGGTAAATCTGTGTCAGCATCGTTCTAAGTCTCTAGAAATTAATTGTTTTAACTATGTAATCGATCTATTATAAAACTTTATTCTTAATTCTTTTGCTTAAATAACAAATCGTATAAATACAAAATCAATTTATTTAAATCGATATTTATGACAAACACACCAAGCGCTTGTTTTTCATGTAGTGTCACATTGTACATTAAACGATCATATATGAACTTTCATGGAACAATATTTTGAAAATTACGTTAAAATAAGCAGTATCCACATTAAATTTTGAATTTGTGACGATTTTATGACGATCTTAAAGTATATTACAAAAATTTTATACGATTATAAGTGCGACAAAAAGTTATATATATCATAGACTATGGAACAAGACTCAGGTTTCTATTTTTATCCGACGCAGTTGCGCTTGCCAAACGACAGCTGCCTGCGTGCATCTTCTCCTATCTCTTGTAACTCAAAATTTGCTCGTATTACCGCATTATTCCAAAAACCGACAAAAGTCGCAAATTTCGCGATTAAAGAAATAATGAGATAACAGTGTACTGTTCGATAATAATTTATAATTAGACTGGAGCGCGAAGAATAGCTTTAAAATGGATCAAATCTTAAAATATAAACTCAGAAGATTTAGTTTTGAGTTTTAAAACATGGCAGGAAAATCACTCATATTTACCTCTCTGAATTCAAATCGCGATGCGACATTAAATCAAAGTGTATTGGGGGATCTCGTTATATTATTAAATCAAAACATAGACATAAAAAAAAGTTTGTACTGTTCTTCACATAACAATGTGTAAAAACGACTTGACAATCCGATTGAAAAAAGAGTTAATTAAAAAAGGGCTTCAATTAAAAGCAGGAAACGATTTTGTTTCTCAGTGAAGCTCGACTTATGCCAAAAATTGCAGTATGTGATATAACAATAAGATATAGTGAGATACGTAAAGAGGTAAGAGGGGATGTTAAAAGGTTATAATAACGAAAGAGAGTGAAATACGGCGAAAGAGAGGGGTAGTGGGGGAAGGGAGGGGTGCGGTGAGTCGGGGTTGGTGGAAGTGTGAGTGAAAGGTGAGAGAGGATGTTAAAAAAAGTTATAATTTCAGACGGACGGATGGAGAAGGAGACGTTTCTTAATTTTTCATTACAATCATCACTTTTCGACCGCTTGTATCTCCAGAACCGATTTAAAATTTTTTTGGCTCAAATCACTCGTGCCGATGCCATCTTTCAAGACATATTACGTGCGATTAAAAATTTTTTATATTTTAGAAGTTAGCTACCCCCAAAAAAGAACTTTAATGGCTCGGGATAAAAAACTTGTAGTGTCTATTATTAATTTCTTAAACTTAAACTAGTAGTTTTTTTAACATATGGCCGGAGACCCTACCGCGCCTCCTGAAAATTAACAAATAAACAAACGCCTCTCCTCGGACCATCTTCAGTGTACTACTATTAAATCATACTTTAATTAAAATAGTATCTCAATATCCTAGTGGAAGATACATTCATAATTCAAATTAAATAACTTTTTAAAATGTAACTATATCATCTGATTAAAAAATTACAATTTTCATCAAAATACATAGATAAATTTCATGGTACTTACGAGCGTTTGTATCATAATAGTTTGAAATTTATTCGGCATCAGGAAAATTTCAATATTTTTCCTTCGTCACAAAATCCAAGTTACTACACATCCGTTAATCAACATTGATATCAAAATATACCGAGATAAGAATAATATATTCTCCTAATAAATTAATAAATTTCTGTCTAACAGAAATGAGCAGCCCAATCAACTCATAATTTTCTTAAAAAGAGACGATAAAAATACGATTTGCCCGCCTAATGTATAAATATTTTCGAGTGCTCGGCTCAATGCCTATCCACCGCTAAACTTAGAAACCGGCCACGTCCCAGGTATCGTCTAGAAAGATAATATCGGCATTTTCTTCAGTGAAAATTCCACCGTCTTCACATTCTGCAACGGTAGTACTTATTAAATTAGACCCCATCACGAGTGAACTACTATCGATATATTATAATAAATTTTAAAAAGTTGATAAAAGTTTTTCTCTCGCAAACACCTTTCTGATAAAATTATACAAATATCTTAAACAAGAACGTAGATTAACTGACAAGAAAATTGTGCTAATTATGTAATAAAAGATATAACATGAAATGTATGTGTAAATCTAATTGTTATATGTATATATTGAACAAACTGTAAATTCAATTATTTTTTCTAATATATTTAATTTCAAAACTGTATTAATCGTGTTAAAATTATTTATAATTATAAATATTAATTATTTGTATTAAAAGACAAATAACATTGCAAAAAATATACAAAGAACTACAGCAAAGGGTCTAGACTTTTTTCAAGTAGTTAAAGTTATATACATATATAGAGGAGAACAAACTTTTATGGACAGAGTATCTACAATTGTAGAAAGTCTCTGAAAGTTATTAACAAATAAAATGGATAAATAAAATAATTGAAAAACATTACTTTCAATACAAAGTTCTTTTTTTTATTTAACGCACGCTCTTTCTATTCGTTGATTTTTCTCTTTATATTTTTGCAAATTTCTAACCCATCCATGGAAAAAAAATGTTTGGTTGAATTACCTGGAATTCTGATGGAAAATGAATCCAGAATACACACCAGTATTCCAGTTAATTCAACTAAACATTTTTCTCCGTATATAAATAAAATTTTGCAAAAAAAACGTGTTTTTTTACTGCTAAAGAAATTAAAATTGCTTCTCTTACTTTTCCTCACTTTAATCAATTTTTAATTACTCCAACGTTAAAACAGTCGCTAAAATTCAATCGTATCATTTAACAAGAACCAGATAATTAATCGTAGTGTAAAATCTATGTATGTCTGTTTCTAAAAAAAAAGTGCACTTAATGCCGGCAATGCAAACTTTCATCAGACACGTCGGATGACAAGTCGCGCTAGGTGTTCCTGAACACCTGTCACCAAGCCGTGAACACACAGCTCGCTCGGTCATCAGAATGTGCGTAATGACTTTGACAGGTTCTTACATCATCTGGGTTAGATATTTCGGATAGGTTAGATATTTCGGATCGCGTGACGTTAAACTCATCATCACTAAAGTGATGTTTCTCCGTGCAATGAATTATCTAATACTGCGCACAATATTTTTTGGCACGGCTACATTAACGCGCGCAATGAGAGAATTCTCCTAGCCAAAAATTTCTACTAGCCAGAGCACTCGGTGAAACAATGTGAATATTTCGATGACGTATGCAAGACTTTTGGTACGTCAGTTCGCTATTTAATATCGCGAAATAATCAATCAAGATGAATCGTATTAAATAGCATAACTATCTATTATTAAAAACACGTATATCTAATGCAGCATTTTCCAATCTTTTTCATTTCGCAACAAATTAAATAACAAGCTAAATTTTTTTATATACATCATTAGGTGCATATGCTTTAGCGTTCAACATAATTTTTCCTGCTATAACACGATATTTATAACCTGATATTTAGAAACAAAAAGTTGTAAAGTTTTTATTTTTATATCATTTTAAATGATTTTATTTAGAGATGCAAACAATAATGGTTTATCGGATAACCGAATACCATAGATCTTATCCGATGGAACCAAATCAGATGGATAATCGATCCGGAAATTGCACAAAAGATTAAAAAATTAAAAAACTAATTTTATAAATTTTATAAGTTTTTTATAATAAAAAGAGAATTTTTTATGTAAACCATTATAAAAATGCTATTAATATCATTGTAAAGATTTAATATTTATATAAGAGAGAGAAACAGGATTATTACCTCCTGATAATGGTCATACTTCTTATATGAGAGAAAAATATAAAATACTTAAAATATTAAAAAAATAATATGTAACAAAAATGTAGGTAATAAATAAATAAAGAATAAAAGCATAAAAAATTATTTCAATTTAATTTTTAAATTATATTATATGGTATCTCTCACACACGTTTTTTTGTTTTTTTTATTGTTAAATAAGATAAAAATATGTTCAATCGAAATTTTGATAAGACATTAAAATAATTAATATAAACTGATTTTATTGTTAGATAAATGTTAGAAATAATTAAGATTTGTTACAGAATAAATCTCTTCTTTAAGGGCCGATTGTTCCATCTTTCGGTAAAGTTTACCTGTTAGGTAAATCTGGCAATTTGCGCATGTGATTGGGTAATCTTGCTACTTACCTGACAGGTAAATTTTACCGAAAGATGGAACAATCGGCCCTAAATCACTTAATTTTTCATTATTTATCTGACGAAACGTTGCTTATACAAAATATATAAGACAAGTTGTTTTCAAACTTAAGCAAAATGTTGAACATTGAAATAACACTTTAGGAGTGCAATGCGAAGACGAGCAGGTACCATCCGAGGACCTTTGTCGACCGTATATCGAGAAGGCGCTCAAGGATCTCGGCACAGGTAATACTAGGTGATGATGAATACTCAGCTGGAACACAGCGATTTCTAGAATATTTCATTTGAAGGATCTTTGGATCAGACCAATGCAGAGATCGAAATCGAGATCGATCAAGAAAACCATCTCATAGATGATGAAGAAGTATCACCCATGAGCGAAGAAGTAAGTCTTAATCTAGTCACATAATAAAAGTTAACTTGTAGTGTACAAAATGTAAACAAAATTAAGGGGGTACGCCTAAGTAAAGGCCTTAAGAAAAGGCTTTCTTTATCAATTTTTTTTTAAGTAACTATAAGTTTTAGAAAAAATATGAACTGATGTATCAATTGGGCACAATTTGGAGATATTTTAAGAATTTTTATGTCAAAATATAAATATATGACGATGTTGCTTAACATTATAGACTTTTGTGTTCAAAAAACATGATCCATCGGCGGTGTAGAGAATTCAAGTTATAATTATCTGAAATAAAATTTGTTTCATCATTTTAAATCTACATGAGTGTAGTTTCAGTTAAGCGTCGAAAATTGTTCGAGTTATAGACACCACCAATTAAAAAACATTTGAGAAAAACACGTTTAAAGTTTCAGTATTGATTTTTTAATAGAAATCTATCGAATTTGTCAGCTTACTATAGTGAATTTATTCCAGGATCATAAAATGAATCGTCTGTAGCAGTGGCAGCATCATTTATTGCATTCATCCTTTATTACAAAAATTTATGATTCTATAGCCGATGGTCTGATTAACGGAAAAATCAAATGTTTGAGATGATTTTAATTTTTTTAGCAGAAGTGCTCACAAAATCTACTGGTTTCTCTAATTCATATCTATTTGGAGAGCATTGTCCTTTTCTACCATCTCAATTTCTCTTACGGATTTTATATTTTTTCTATCCATCTACTATTTCGCGTAGAAATAAATATATTGACGCGTATCGTGCCTTATGCTACGAACAACGGCTATCCAACGAATTTCCTAATTTTGAAACACGCACGCACGCACAAGGTCAAAGGGCCTATTGTGCGTTTCGATATAGGGCGACTGATCAGGTACGATTTCAGCGCACTGTGCGCCCGTTCCCTAAAGCCGTAATCACACTACAGACTGCCTACTCTGACTCGACTACTGACTCGGGGACTCCCGACTATAATTGAATCAATCACAACAAGGCAGTAGCCAGCTCTGACTGCCGACTCGAGTCAATAGAAATGACTCTATTCGATCGACTCTGAGTCGGGAATCGGGAGTCGGGAGTTTATAGTATAATTTACGGCTTAAGACTCACATAACGAGAAATACTTCGAATTTTATAAAAACCTTTCAGGAACATATTTTTAAGACATCTTTCAAAAAAAAATTTTTTTTTCGATTTTTTGAAAATTTTGCTTAGGCTCACCCCCTTAAAAAAAATAAATCTTACTATTAAAAGTTTATTTATTTAGGCCGGCGAGGCAGCAAACATTTCGAAAGAAGATCAGGAGGGATCGGTAGAGGAAGATGCAAAAACGACTGCTGATGAGACAAAGGAAGCAACTGAAGAGCAAACTGATGCTAGCGAAGAAAAAACACAAAAAATATCCGAAGAAGAAGAACAAAGTGAAGAAGCCGTGACTGATAAAAGTATTGAAATTAGCATCTTTGAAGAAGGTAGAATTAATAATTGTTGATGCTTTTAAATGTTGACATTTCCGAATTTTTTGAAAATGCAAATATTTAAAAGACATATATAATAAAAGAAAATAATAACATTGTTCAGAAGAAGCAGAGAAAGCTGAGGAAGCATCCACTGAGACAACTGAAGACGAAGGAAAAGAAACTGATTCTTTCGAAAAAGTGACAGAAAGCGAAGAAACGAGAACTGAAGATGAAAAGCTTAACAAAGAAAAATCTGACGAAGAAACAAAAGAAAAAGACGAAAAATCCGAGGAAGTAGACGACGAAGCGAAGTCCGAAGAAAATGAGGAATCAAAAGCTGAAGACGAGGAACAAAGCGAATCCAAAGAGGCCACCGAAGAAGTAGAAGTTGAGTCTAATGAAGAAGCTAAAACTCAACAAACATCCGAGGAAACTAATATTGAAGAAGAATCTGATAAAGACGAAGAAATTGATAGTAAAATCGAAGAGGACACCGAATCAATTGAAGATCAAACGGTGAGCGCTGAGGATGAGAAAAGTGACACTGAGGAGAAGATTCAGAATGAAAGCGCTGAAGCTGAGAGTGAAGAAAAAGACAAAGAAAGTACAGAAGATGCCAAAACAGCAAGTTCCAAAGATATAGAAGAAGAAACAAAGTCAGAAGAAGCAGAGGCAGAACTTGCTGAAGAAGAAGAAGGTACAACAATGTCTGCGGAAGAAGAAATGAAATTACAAGAAGAAGAAACAAAATCTGAAGAAACTGAAACAAAATCCACAGAAGAGGAAGACGCGGAGACTGAAGAGAAAGATGCAAAATCGGAGGAAGAGGACGTAAAGTCCGAAGAAGATAGAAATAAAGATATAAAATCGCGCGACAAACGAGAAATTGGTGAAGAAAGCACTGAAGCAGATGGCGAATCGGAAGAAGGTAAAAAAGATCTTATAACTATAAATTCATCCTTTTTATCTGCCAGGCCTATGATATAATTATATTAATTATGCTACATTTTATATTGACATGAAAATACAATTAACACAATAATACAATTTTCGCTGTCAGTTGCCAGTGATGAAGAACAAAAATATACTCCAGAGGAGGATCTGATTCAAGAAATCGAAATTCCGGAAAATCTTCGACCTAGAGATCATATTAACCAATTGTTAAAAATGGACGAAGAAAATGAGGAAAAAGAGAGAGCTATACAAAGAGAAGCTGATATTATTCTTAGAGATCTAAAGAGACTCTACGATAACGCTATAAAGCCATTAGAGACTATGTACAAGTATAGAGACTTGAGTAATAGGCATTTCGGAGGTAAGCAAATAGGGGAGAATGTCCTAAATCGAACCGTGTTCCAAATCGAACCTCTTTAATTTAAATAAATATGGTTAAGCAGATTTGCATGCTATTTATAGTCCTTATAAGACACCGCATATGTGACACCAGTTTGGCAGTACTCTGTCATAACGTTTATAGAACAAACGCAAATATGTATTTTTTCGACTATCATGCAAAAATTGTTTTTCAAAAAAAGATCCTTATAAATCATTATTTAAAAGATGTTAAAAATTTGAACGATAATTAATTTAAGATAATTAAAGAGTGTAGAATTAAAAAATATCAAGAGTTTTGTGATTACTTTTGCGGTTTATTGTAAAATTTGTTCCAATAGTTTAAAAGAACCCGTGTCTAAATCGGATCTATACAAAAAAACACTAAGACGAGTGAGCCAGCTAATTCATCGAAGAAAGAAGGTTCGCTACAACCAAAGGTTGTAGTATTGATGATCGACCGATCAGATCTAATCTAAGAGACACTAAATCAATACAATATCATGTGTCATCAGACTCAGATTGATGAAATTTTTTATTCATTTTAATTCTATAATAATAATATAAACTGTTTTTATCTTTGAATCTTAAATTGCTCGTTTTTACTCAATACTAACTAAAATTAATTAAAATATTTTAAAATTCTATCTAAAACTTCATAAAAATAAGGAGCGGACCGGAAAATGCATTTTTATATTTTCCAATATAGTTTGACACAGGTAAGAGATACGTCAAAATGGTCTGAAGAAAAATGAAGGAAGTTAAATGATCTTTCGAACGGTACCATTAGTTTTATGATCGGACTTTATTATGCCTTATAAAGAACTGCAAATAGATCTGATTTAGACCACTCTCCCCTATAATTTTAAAATTAATTGTATTTTTTATTGTTTAATTTATTCACCTCAAATATTTACATATACATACACGTACGCACGCACGTACGCACGCAGCATGCACGCACGCACGCACGCACGAACGCATGCACGCACGCACGCACACGCACACACACACACACGGGCAAAATAAATAATGTGCTTTTACAAATTAAAATTTGCAATAACCAATTCTACTCTTTATTAGATCCCGAGATATTCTCCAAGCCATTAGTACTATTTATGGGACCGTGGAGTGGCGGGAAGTCATCCATCATTAATTATCTGCTCGACATCGAATACAAGACAATGTCATTGAGGACAGGTGGGTAATTAAACTAAAAGAGGAATGCGATCTCTCTTTATTACATTTTTTCTTTGGCTTTGCGCTGATAAGTAGTCAAGACTTAGCAATAGAAATGGCATGCTAGGAGCATGGATATACAGAGAGTGTTTAGGTGGTTTGAGAAAGTGCTTAGAAGAGCATTGCAAATCGCCAAATGGAAAAAATGACACAGGAGCCGAGCCATCACCGGCCTACTTCAACATAATAATGCACGGCGAGGAAGAGGAGGTTCTTGATGGCACCCAGTTAGCCGCCGATTGGACTTTTTCAGGATTGCAGAAGTTTGGACAGGGTCTGCTAGATCGTCTCAGAGGCTTGCGATTTAATAATAAGTTACTAGAAAAGGTAAGCGATTATAAAAGATTTTTATCCATCTACAAATATTTATCACATACATCGGAATGTACAAATAATGTGCAATCAATCATATTGATTAATAGACTTAAAATTTGCAATTTTGTAAAATAAATATTTAAAACGTTTATATGTATATCTCATATTTGAAACTTTAAAATATTTAATTTTCAATCAAAATTATACAAAATAAAATTTTGTGCTCTATTCTTTAATCAAATTAAAAAATTCTAAAAGGTAAAGTTCTCTAATTAATTTTTAAATAAAACTATCTTATGTTAATTATATATTAAAAATTTATAATGACAGACTTTAATACAATAACAAATTGATAAAAACGTGATATTCACAATTACGATAATTGACGTTATTCATTAATTATAATTTACGCATGTTATACATAACATAAAACTATAATATTTCACATGTTAATCATATGAAATATTATTAGGTAAACATTGTCGAGATTCCGGGTATTCTAGAAATCCGGAAGCAAGTTCAACGCTTATTTCCCTTTAACGATGCGTGTCAGTGGTTCATCGATCGAGCAGATATCATATTTTTGGTTTACGATCCCGCCAAGTTGGATGTCGGTCCCGAAACCGAAGCGATTCTTGACCAGTTAAAGGGAAGAGAATATCAGGTATGTGAGATGATAAAAATATTGAGGTAAAGATATTGGCAGCATTGCTTAAAAAGATTATTCTGAAAAAAAAAAAAAAAAAAAAAAACGCTTAATATAACATTACTTTCGTACAGACCCGTATTATCCTTAACAAAGCCGATCAGGTAAAGCCCGAAGAACTCATGAGGGTGCAAGGCGCCTTAATCTGGAATATATCACCGCTCATGTCAAGTGCGGAGCCGCCAATAATGTATTCGACGTCGTTATGGTCATTACCCTACGAAGCCGGTGCGCCTATCAGGTTGTTGTACGCTCAAGAACGCGCATTCCTTCGCGACCTACGTTCCGCAATAAACAAGAGAGTCGAGCACAAAATAGCAAGCGCCAGAAGATTCGCCGTAAGTTCACATTAATTCTAAAAACTACGAAGAGCCGCCGACCGGATTTAAACTCTAGATCCTTCGTTTTCATTCCTAGTATTTAGGACGTTTCACCATAGCTTCACTGTGTACTTAGGCTAACCTCAATGCATTGATTTCTAAACAATCTCCCAAACTTAGACAAATCCTTAAAATTATACGACTATACATAGGATTTAAAATGTAAGGGGAAATAGTCGAAACTCACCAAGCAATAACTTGCTAATTACATACACATATTTCATCGTAGGCTACAAATGAATAGGACAAGAAATATTAGCGACGATTGTGGAAAAATTAACAGAGCCGATTGCGATTCGAGATTTTTCGTTTTCATTCTTAATAATACCGTTAGCATGCTTCTCACAATTGCTTTACTCTCTCATAATTATTCCGGTTGTCTATAAATACTCTTTTGATCTTACAGTCATTTTTATTTTTGTTATAATTCTACAGAATTTTACAAAGCACAAAGTTATCTTTCCTTGAGAAAATAATATAGAAATCAACAATAAGAAACTATTAAAGAACTAAAAAATCAATTACTTAATTAATATACTTTGGAATAATACTATTTCAATAAAAATTTACTTGATACGTTCGATCTTTGGCAATTTCAGGTACGAGTACGTAATCATGCTAAGATGGTGGACTGTTACTTGACGACGTATTATAATCACAAGACATTCTTCGGCAACAAGCGAGAGATCAGCGACAGAATCATCGAAAATCCACAGGATTATCATATCTATGAAGGCCTCAGCACTCTCACGAACATATCGCGCTACGATCTACCAGATCCGGATGTCTACCGTGATTTCTTCCGACTAAATCCACTTTATGATTTCCCGCTGCTAAGCTCTACATGCACATATTTCCGCGGCTGTCCGATCAACAGGCTTGATGTATCCATCGCCTATGACCTACCCGAGTTGGTAGGCAAGTATAAGAAGTCGGTAGAGGCGGTGTTGCATGAGAGCGAAGGTAACAGTCCACCGAGTTGAGTGCGTATCCGCGTTCCAGAATGGAGCTCTTGATACCATGTGAAATACGGACTGGCGATAAAGCGACGTTTACCTCCGCTAGACCGAGAAGAAACACTCAGCCTGTACCCGAAATGCCTTGGTAGCGCTTAAAAATGCTCGATAACGGTGAACGAGCTGAAAAACGTGGTCCGATATTTGAGATGGTACCAAGGATTTTCTTCTTAAAACACAGGCAACTATAAATCGCGCTATTCTCGCAAGTTGAATTCGAGCTGCTTTAATGACAACGAATCGGTTTGCAAATGAAGCTGACGGTCGCGAAAGCAACGGAAGCGGAAGGGCATGGAGTCTTGGAGTACGAAAATTGGGGGGGGGTATCATCATTTGAACGAGTGAATAACGCGCGCGCCGTATAATTTCTAGATCCGAATAGTTTAACATCGTCCTTCGACATGACACAATGTGAACATGCTGTGGAGTGTGATATCACGAGTTTAGTGGTCGAAACACTTCCTCGGTTGCAGAAGAAGAGCAAGTGTATTGCTTGTATCTGGTAAAACAATGCGAGTGCTACCATTCCGATCCAAAAAAGAACAGTGAGAGTTTCCATTCAATTTATATATGTTCAGATATCGATTCGGCGAAAATTTGAGACTTCGGTGCAGCAATAGCTTATCTTTTCTAGGTATATAAAAAATTATCAAAAATTTAATCAAAATTCAAGATAAATTTTAATTAGGGATGTAAAACTGGATCGTAAAATTACCAGATATCGGATATTCGTAAAAAATATAATACCAGATATTTAATATTAGGTCGGATATCCGGTAGGGGGTACCAAACATCCCTAATTTTTATTTCAAAAATTTCTAATTTTGAAATATAAGATTAAATTATAACTTTCTGTCTTTTTTTTTTTAATTCAATATTAACGATTTTTATTCCTATTTAATCATAAAATTTCAAGAAATTTAATTTTAAAAATAAACATTGATTTTTAACTATACAATTAATTATATATTTTAGAATTTAGATAATATTGTATTTTATAATTATTCATAAGTTTCATCTTAATTAGCTTATTGTTAATTGTTGTTCTAATTTTAACATTAATCTCCTCACAAAAAAGTTCTTGTAAATATAATCCAAACTACTGTTGCACCTAATACTTAAATTCTCGCAACAAATCGGCGTCTGCTGATTAACTAAAAAAAAAAAAAAAAGGAAAAAAATAGACTCTCCAGAATCGATGTAATGTTGAGCAACAATCTTATCCGCCAAATTCCTTTGTACCGAGGAAATTGAACTAATACCAAAATATTTCCATTGCGAAAAAGAGATAAGATGATCTCTTCTTTTGTGGCTTTTGTGGAATACCTCGTATAAGCTGATTTTGTGTTCTTATTAAAATGTGTAATTAAATTCATTAAAGATATCTACTGATCTCTCTTACATTGCTCCGTTAATGCGTGAGGCAAATGGTGACGTTCGTTTTTGATCAAAAATTTAAACTTCCTTCCAGTTCGCGCGTTATTATACGTAGAATAAAGAGTTCCTTATATCTTTAAACATTGAATTTAAAAAAATTTTGGATATTAAAATCAAGTTTTTTCCAAATTCTTAATTGCTTGATTTTTCAGTCATAAATTTTAAATTAATTCTTTTAAGCCTTCGATTATCAAATTTTTTAATTCTAGTAACTCTTAGGTCACAAAATTCAGTGAAAATTGGATTTTTGCATAATCTTTTTATATTTTTAAATCGTTTTTGTTGCTACCTGTTTCAATATATTTCATTAATTTTGAACCAAATTCTGAGTAATTGAACTATATTAATATCACAATCCTAATCAAATATCACGATAAAGATAAATATAAATTTTCAATTCAGTATAAGTACATTAATTTTTCAATAAAAGCATAAATGTGATAGAGACATCACAAGTAATTTATATTTTAAATTGTAAACAAAGCAACTTTTTCATTTACATAAAATAATGATATAACGCGACTTAGCGTTTGAATAAGTGTACTGTTAATATTATTATTATGACGATTGTGTTGTTGCTATTATTATCATTGTTATTCTACATTATATTATATAAAGATTACGTCAAGTAAATTTAATGTTACAGATATATATATATGTTATAAAGTTTATCTATTTCTTTAGTTAGAGTTAACATATTGCTACTACATATATCATAAAATGGAATGACTCGTCCAAATTCTAAAAATGGTTATACTACTGCTCAGCAGATTGCTCGATCTAATTGGTCTGAACATGTAGATGGCAGATTTACTTAGATACAACAACTTGTTTATAATTTATGCTTTTGCATAAATAAATGAGAACATCCATAATTACTCGTTTCAATAAGTGCAAAAATATAATCCTTTTTGCTACTTTCATTAGAGTACCTTAAACTAAAATTTTCCAAACTCCAGTAAACAAATTTTTATATACTTAGAGATATACAGTGAAAATAATTAATGTACAAATTAAATTTCTTTTGTTTTGTCCAATCTGCTAAATATTATACACCTTGGGATAACTTGGACAATTCGATTCAACCTCATTCTCTTATTGCCTTATTTTCTTTCACTTGTTACTTCAATCATGATGGATTCAAAACCATAACTTTGGCTCTAGTCCACAATTCTTTTGTTCTTCTGGTAATTTTTTTTTATAATAATAAATAATAATGCTAATTGTTTAGTCTCGATATTTTTTAAAACTAAATATGAGGATCAGATCTAATAAAAACATCCCATAACAACATAAGCAGTAAATCATAATACATGTATAATCCATGCAAACTATGACTATATAAAACATTGCTTTCTTAAAGTACATATTTGTTTATGCAACAGTCATACCAAAAATATTGTTCTCGTTATTAGTACTCTAAAGAATTTTATTTATAAAATAAAAAAAAATTTTACGTCTTACAAGTTAGCAGAATAAATGAGTAACACAAATAAAAATATTAATTAAAATTGATTTTGCTCACTTTGTTCTGTTAACTTATAAGATGTAAATCTTTTTTGTAAAATTTTTTCATTCAATTATGTTTAAAAATAAAAAAAGACCACTATCTCCTAATTTTTATTATGTTCTAGAGTGGCATATATAAAACATTATTAATGACTAATTAATAAGTTTGATCATAGCTTTCATTCTATTACACAGATTTATAAAAATAATTAAAAAATAAAAATTAAATTGTAACCCATAATATGCAGCATCTTTCATGCAAAACATACTTACATTTGGTGTAGTCTCGCGTAGCCATTCGTCTGCTTGTTCATCAAAATCCAGTTTACAAGCTAGTCTCAAATCATTTGCCGCTTCCTCAAACTTCCCAAGCAAATGATAACCTCTTCCTCTGAATTTGTAAGCCGCTGCGCTATCTGGATTTAATTCTATAGCACAGTTGCAATCGCGAATGCAAGCATTCGGCTTGTTCAATAATAGGAAAACTTGACCACGTTTAGCATATAGTAAAGCTGCTTGAGGATTCAGTACAATAGCCTCTGTGTAAAGTTGTACGGTTTTCTCGTAATCTTTCTCTACAAATGCAGAGATTGCTTCAGATCTTTTTGCTTGTGACTCCGCAATTTCTTCCTCACTGGGTTGTAAAGTCAAATTTCCCATTTTTTGAGGAATATCTTCATCAGATTCTAAAAAAAGAAAGATACACATGTGTTATATTATTATATATTTATTATAAAAAAAAACAATGTAAAAATATATATATGTATGTATATATCCAAATTTAACGGACAAATTGCAGAAGTATATTCTACAAGTGGAAATAAGATAAAGTTATTTGATCTTTGGCTAGAAATGCCTTATTACAAAGTTATAAACCGTTAAATCCTTGGAACACTGCACACACACACGCGCATATCACACACACACACACACACACACACATACAAATTTAAAAAAGATAAATATATGAGACAAACCGATTACGCCAGTCATATCCAATTCTAAATCACTTTCTTCACTCTCTGGTGCCGATTCAAATTGTGGTTGAGGTTTGTCTTCAAATTCTGTTTTGGTATCTGACGAATCATTTGCTTTAGCTTCTGGTACCTTACCACCATAATGTTCTATTAAATCCTTAATAAAGGATAGTTTTGGATCATGAAGAAGAGATGCATCACTCATGCATTGCTGAGCTAACAATTTCAGCTGCTGTACGATTTTATCGCCAAACACAGGCACCTCCATGTTATCTACAGATGCAGATTTATCAAATGCTCCGTTTGTGAAAATTCAACTAGCCTAACTAAGTGTTACTCCTCGTGTATAATAAACCATCTAATTGATGAGCGATGCAAAAATATAAAGATATATGTATCTTTAGATACTTATACCTACATAGATATAAACATATATCTATATCTAATTCGACAAACACGCGAGGACACGCGACTCAGGTTTTGTCGTTAGGAATAATCGAGAATTTTGATTGCAAGTCAGATGAACTCACCGCTGATTAGAAAGAAATAATCTTTTGAAGTTATCCTTATTCGTAAACTATCAAGTATATTATATTACTTATATTTTGATTCCACAAATCTCAGTTTATCGAAGTGCACAACCATGCACAACAAGTACTGCAACGTAACGTCACGTGATCGCATTCAAAATCGCGTAAATAAGCATTTATATATATATATATATATATATAAATATGTATATATGACATCACACATGTATGGAAGCTTTCCAACAAGAGCAACTGGTCTAGTTTACATCGTGAAAGAATTGGTACGCATATTAAATTTTTGTTCTGCATAGAGTCATAGGCCCGTATTCAGAACGCGCTACAACGATGTTAGCGCGCTAACATGCTATAGTTTACGTCACGTGTACTATAGAATTTCAGAAATAAAAGCGCGCTTTTATCGATAAAAGTGCGTTCTGAATACGGGCCCTAAAGCCCGATGTAAAGAAGAGTTCTTATTGGTTATCGCTCCTCGCGCATCGCTCATCGCGCCTAGTGTGAACTAGGCATAACACGGAACGCAGCCTTAAGCCCATGGCACATAGAAAAACGTAAGGCCGTAAACGTAATCAGTAAGCGAATTGACCAATCACAGTTGAGAACGTAAGAGGCGGCCGCTTACGTTCTCAACTGTGATTGGTCAATTACGTTTTTCTATGTGCCATGGGCTTAAGGCTGCGTTCCGTGTTATGCCTAGTTCACACTAGGCGCGATGAGCGATGCGCGAGGAGCGATAACCAATAAGAACTCTTCTTTACATCGTCGTGTGAGCTAAAGCAAAGCTCTTATTGGTTATCGCTCATCGTTCATCGTCCATCGCATCCAGTGTGAACTAGGCATTAGGGTTGATTTATACTGGCCGTAATCTGTAAAAATTGACCAATCACAGTCGAATGAGAGGGGAATAATGAATTTTAATTGGTTAATTTTTACAGATTACGGCCAGTATAATCCAACCCTTAGGTATATGCACACATTTTATATAGTGAGCGTCACGTATACTGTAGGGGAATACACGCATATGCGTGAAACGGAACGCAGCCCTAGATATCAGAGAAGCGCAACCGGTGTGCCGCATTCTGATTAGCTGACTGTCAGCCAATTATGACATTCATTCAGTGATACTGAAAATGGCTGACTTAACAGACGATTGGTGGATTTCATAGTTCGTCTGCAAACGACTCCATTTTTAGTACTTTTCTTAGTAATTTTGCGATACTGACTTAAGCCGGTTTAGATGCGGCATGCGCCTGGCTTCTGATTGATCACCGTGGTTGTGTTCCAAAATTGACTGCCAGTACTGAAAATCTATAGTTTATGTCACGAGCACTATAGGTTTTCAGTACTGGCAGTCAATTTTGGAACACACACCCCGTATGTGTTTGCCGCAGCTCACCGCATACATGGAGTATTAGCTTAAAGCTGATTTTTCATGTACAGCACGCTGCGGCAGCAAAATGTTAATATTGGTTAAAAATCTTTTGCGAGGTGACGTACTGTGACGCACTTCCAACCAGATCTCGATAATTTGTATCACATGACATTTTGCTGTCGCAGCATGCTGCACATGAAAAATCAGCTTAATGCTGGATTCACACTGGACGCAGCAAGCGTTAAGCAGCGGAGCAGTAAACAATCATCGTGGCAATATTTTTTACGCCACTGTAAGTATCGCCATGCTGGTTGGTTGCTGCTCCGTTACTTGACGCTTGCTGCGTCTAGAGTCCTAGATATCAGAGAAGCTCAACCGGCTTAAGTATGTATCGCAAAATTACTAAAAACAGTATTAAAAATGGCGTCGTTTGCAGACGAACTATGAAATCCACCAATCGTCTATTAGTCAGCCATTTTTAATACCAAATGAATGAATGTCATGATTGGCTGACAGTCATCAGCGAATCAGGAACATCGATTGCGCTTTTCTGATATCTAGGACTCTAGCTGCGTCCAGTGCGAATCCAGCATAAAGTTGTATCCACACAAACTTGCATAATCGCATACGTATGCATAAAGAAAATTATCCAATCATATTTTACGTGCGTCTTTATAAGAGAAATGCGATTGGATAATCTTCTATTTTTCTTTATGCATATATTTATGCAGCTATGCAAATTTGTGTTTATATACTCTAAAGCCGCAGCACAGATTCTTGCATAAAGCATAATGCATAGTGCATAAGAGAATCAACCAATCAGAGTCCTTCTTTTCCTCCCACTTCACGGAAGAGAAGCATTTTGATTGGTTGATTCTCTCATGCATTATGCGCCATGCAAAAGTGTGTGCTGCGGCCTTAACTTATGCACTTTTCCACTATGGTCCGTATTCAGAACGCACTTTTATCGATCAAAACGCGCTTTTATCTCTGAAATTCTATAGTACACGTGACATAAACTATAGCATATTAGCGCGCTAACATCGTTGTTAGCGCGTTCTGAAACGGATGTTTTGGTTCAGTCATCACGTTGAGAGCTACCCTAAAGGCCGCAGCACACACTTTTGCATGACGCACAAGAGAATCAACCAGTCTGAATCCCTCCTTCCCTTCCACTTCACGGAAAAAAAGAAGTTTGATTGGCTGATTCTTTTATGCGCTATACGTTATGCAAAAGCTAGTGTCTTAAGCCATAAGAAATAGACAAATCATGGTCGATTATTCTCCTGAAATTTCGACTGTAATTGGTTAATTTCTTCCAACTCATAAAAGACGTTTTTGGCGCTCGCATTCTGACTAGTTTGCTCGCGCATGCGCGCAACTTGACAACGCCATTGCCGTGGTGTCAATAGAGTCCGCCATCTAGTCGATCGCGCTATCTCTGCGACGCCCGTTTACTCCGGACTTGGATTGGAAGTACTCCGAAGTTGTGTAACTCGAGCCAGCGCGAAATTGCTTATTTTATGTGTTTGATGCTGTCACAGCTGTCAGACGAGTGACACGAGTGAGTGAGTGCGTGCGTGCGTGCGGTGCGTGCATGCGTGCGGTGCGGTGCGATTCGATGCGGTGGTGATTCACTCCGGGACTAAAGTGCGTGTCCGTCCGTTCGTTGGAAGTGCGGCTAACAGCAGCGTAGCTAACATGTTGCCCGAACAACGACCGGACCCGGACGCGTACAAGTAACGACGGCGGCGGCCATCGGCCATCGGCAAAGAGCTCAATTCGAGCGGGGTGTCGGTCGCGGTGCGAGAGGCACACACGACACGACGCTGCCCATCGAGATGGTGTAGCGTAGCGCGCGCGCGCGAGGCGGGCCCCTGCGTGAGCGCGAGAGAAAGAGTGTGTTTTCGTCATCCCCGTCGCCGTTGTCCTCGCCGTCGTCGTCGTCGTCGTCGTCGTCTTAGTAGTTGGTGGGAATTAAGTGCATTTGTGCGGATCGCATCTCATCTCCCGCCCTTTACTCTCCTCACATCGTTCAACTCTCTCTCGTCCTCGGCGCCGACGATCGTCTTGACGATTATACCGTGTCATCGTCGTGAAACATTCGACGTCATCGAGATCACGGATCCTACCGATTACCCTGGATTACACGCAACACGACGTCTTCTGGCCATCAGTTACGATGACTACAGTGCGCACTGTACCCTCGGATAAAGTAAGCCTCTCTCTATACTTCCATGTCTCCTAAACTTTTTCTGCTATTGTTTGTCATTTATGTTTTACGCTCGAATGTTTCCTTTCCCTAGAATAGCAATAAACGCTTTGTCACATATCGGGCTCTCCTCCATCAACTTTGTGTGACACGTCTCTACCGCACCCTATCATTTCGTCCTCGCAAAGGACAGCCTCGCCTCCGTCTGCCTCTCCTACGTCTCCCTCGCAGTCACCTCCTCCTTCTCCTACTTCTGCACTTCCTCCTGCTCGCCATCCCCTCCTCCTCCTCCTCCTCCTCCTCCTCTTCCCTTGGCATACTCCCGAGCAGAGCCTTTTGCGCCATGACGTCGGGAAGCTGTGAGATATACGTCGAACGTGACACTACGCGCATCTGCCGCTTCGCGAAAATTTTGTGGTCGACAGGATTTTCGGAATAAACGGTGTATAAATTCTCACTGCGCGCGCGTGCGCGCGCGCACGTGGGAGACGCGGAATTGATGCCAAACAATACCAAATGACACTGCTGGTCTTAACCATCTTTGTTATTACTAATGAGACTTCAAGTAAGCTGTTCGATTTTATTGTGATGTTATAGTGTAAATGTACAGTTTACGTCGCTTTGTTGTTACACACCAATAATCGCGCCGTTCCTTTTGTATTCGCCCGTTATATAGTTGTTTTATATCATCTCGAGAGTCCACTAAACTAAAGTTATGCATTTTTGCTAGACACGATACATTTTCTTGTGGATGTCTGCGTGCGCGAGCAATTGCGACGAATAGAAAAGTTAAATATACGAGATTAGAATATTATTAGAAGTACAAATTAGTTCGGTCCGTTTTCCAAACGATGATCGCTTCCAAAGACGAGTCATTTTTTCGAGATAGAATTCGAAAATTGCCTGAGAGATGGACAATATTTTAATTAATCTGTTCATTCATTTTGTTTGGAAATAAATGCATTTTTTAACACAAAAAACGGACCGAACTAATTTGTTGAAGATTAGTAAAACAAGAACGGAAATTTTCTCCCTCTTCCTACCCTTTCTCACACACATGAAATAAATTCATATACATAATAGAAAGAGCAAGGATGGTCGTTTCCGGAATGAATTAAATGAACATTTATTTCAACAAGGAAACTGATTATTTTCCAACTTGGTGTTGACTCGTACATTACAATGCTCGTTGCCTTGACACTAGAACGATTAAAGACGCTTCGCGCGGATGATAAAAAAAAGTAAAAGAAGGAAAAAAGACGAGATAAGGTGCGAAAATATGAAATGTCACACTTGACTTACTCCCAAGCTAGACAGACAAGATATCGACTGCTCCAATTTAGAAATATCGAATCAATGCTTCTCTTGTCTGTTTATCTCCATTGTCGGTGCAGACTGCATGTGTTTTGACAAGCTAATTATTGCTGTTGTACATGAATTTATTTCATGTGTGTGAGAAAGGGTAGGATGAGAGAGAAAATTTCCGTTCTTGTCTTACTAATCAGATGGAAACTCTGAATTGGGCGGCGCCACTCACTTAGCGCTAAATGTATCATCAGATCCCTCGGTGTCTTTAACGTACGCTTTGTTTCGTTTCCATTTTCTCATTTTTCTGTCACGATATTTGTTACTCTCACGCAATGTGACATTACTTAGTGTGCTGGATATAAAACATGAAATATCGTATATCACAAAAGGCGATTTTTTGCGTGCTTCTGGTGTAGCAACTAAAACTAACCGCGACTAAGGCTATCTTCGTTTTCAGGGATCAGAAGACAAAGATAGCCTCAACCACGGTTGCTTTTGGTTGCTATACCAGAGGCACGCCAAAAATCGCCTAATATAAACAAGAACGAATGCTGAAATTCGAAATTTTAATTCTTCGGCATGGGAAAATCGTATTCTATCGTATTGTACCGTCATTATAAGTGCTTGATTTTTTGTGACAAATCAAAATGAAAAGAACGAAGATATTATTGAATAGTAAAGTTAATGCGTATACATTACTGTCAATCAAAATTAAAATGCATTTTGAGGTGAAAAAAGTATATCTTATATTGTTTTATTAATTTTTAATAGAATTTGTAATATATCTAATTATTATTACAACAGTTAACTAAAAATGAAATCCAATCCTTTAATTATATATAAAATTTAAAATTCGAGAAACATATTTTTCTACTGAATTATGCCCATTTTTATTAAGTGGCTAATAAGAGACAAATAAATAATTTGTCAAACTTTAAATGAAGAAGTGAGCTACATTTTAATTGCAAATTCTACTTTAATATGTCGACAAATTTTACAATATATAACGCGCGCATTACATGCTTCGGCTGTATGATTCAGCTGTATAACCGCGATGGGACACTCCCAAGGGCGTATGCACTTCCCAAGATACATAAACAGAACTTGTCCATTCAGGATTGTTGTTTCGTCTATTGGTAGTCCACTACATAATTTAGCTTCTTTCTTACAAAATATAATGCAAGATTCTTTGCCAAAAGTAGACAGTCACATAAAAAATAGTTGTTCCTTCACATAATACTGATTCGTTTTAAATAGCTGTCAATTTATTTCATCCAAGACTTCAATTTACATTAGAAATGGGTAATGTGTTGAATTTTTTGTATATCACTATGGTCATTAAAGAAAATCGGTTAATTTCTGATTGGTACCATAAACTCACTTTTTTTTTCGGGAAAATTTTTAAATTTCTATTCTAATCATCCTCTTTCTCAAAAGAAGAGTGTCATTTTTGGTTTAGTAGACAAAGCATTCCTACTGTCTGATATAACTTTTTATGAAAAAAATATCAGTTTGATAATTAATATTTTAAAAGGAAACGATTTTCCTCTTAAATTTATTTTTGATAATATTAACATCAGAATTAAAAACATCGAACATGGTAGAAGTTCTCAAATTAGTGACAATAACAAGAATACCAATTCATTTATCATTCCATCGTGGTTTTCAATACCTTTTATTCCTAAATTAACTGAAAAATTCAAACAATTTAACAGGAACGAGTTCAGAGTATCTTTCTTTAGCATTAATAAATTGCAAAAATATATTAAAGTACACAAAGATCCATTGACTTCAAACTGCAAATTTAACGTGGTTTACAAAATAAATTGTAATGATTGCGAGACGCAACATATGTGGATCAAATAGGAAGACAATTAAAAACAAAGATTGCAGAATATCGCAATCATATACGGTGGAACACATCTAAATCGGTAATAACGGATCATAGACTACAACAGGGAGGGACATGAATTTGATTGGTGTAACATTCACATATTGGACGAAGAGCCTTGTTACAGAAAACGCTTTGTCTGAAATGCTTAATATCAAGAAACAGAAAAACGAACTCAACCTACAGGACAGATACAGAAGGACTACATAAAGCATATATTCCGATCATAAACAAGATTTGACTTTGCGTCAAAATTCTCATTTCAATATTGTACCGACAACCGTAAGAATTAGACTAATATCGCTGTGATAATCGATTTTCTTTTAATTTTTTGACATTATATAATTATGTGACCATCTATTTTGACTTCGATAATGCGAGAAGATGACCATTGACGAACTATTTGTTATGGTCATTTTAAATCGCGCGTTTGTCACAGCCATCGTATATTTATATTGTCATGCTTGCTGACATTTACCTCTTACGCCAAAAATTCAGAAGGACATTTCCCCCACTCCGTAGTCGGCGACAATGACGACGTTTCTTACATAAAAATTTCAGATTTGGATTTTGCGTCGCAATGCGTCGCAATATTTTCGCTCGTAGGGGCACGTAAAGAAAAAACAAAAGCACTTTCATTACATAACTTGAGCGGGCACTATCGATTGACGTAGAACTTGATATACGTAGAACTTGATTGGTTCAGTCGTTATTGAGATCTGATAATCTCAATCTGCCGCAACTCGCCAGTTCGCGTAAAGGAGGCATGGCAGTGTCGCTGCGCAGCGCCGAGACACTACCGTGTCTCCAGATTATGAAGTTTAACCTCTTATTATACAATTATAGAATGAACTTTACAGTGAAATATTTTATATAATTTTAAAATTTAATCTCTCGTCATTTAATAACACGTGCCATTTAATAATACGTATTTCTCCGTATTGCTGTTTAAATTATTTATATGTTTTGTAATATTTAATAGTTTGAACGACACAATTAAAGTAACTTAGTTATAATTTAGATAGAATATAGTCCTAATAAATTGTTTATTACTATATATAGTTTTTTTTTTTAGCAAAAAAGTGAGAAGAGAAAGTTTTAGTTTAGTCCATATACAGTACCAGTTCTTTAGTTCCAGGGCAGCAATAAAAAAGAGATCTCTCTCTGTACCTAGCAACTAATAATCACAATAACTTTTAATTAAAGGAGCTTGTGTGTGTTTTGAAATTGAATATGTGCATATCTATATTTATATGCCTAAGATCTGTGTCATCTAATTCTAATTGTAAGTAAATTTCATCAACTTGTCATTCTCTTTTCATAGTCAGTACAATCTTTATATAAATTTATACAATATTTTATATCATAAAGTTTTATTTCCTGTTAATATATATATATATATATATGTGTTGAACTATTTAACAATTTATAACATAAATAGTATTTTTTTTATTATAGTATATATGAAATATCTTTCCATTAAAATCTTTTTCAAAAAAAGAATAAAGTATAATAGTATCTGCATATTAGATAAAAAATAAAAAATTTCAATCAAAAGATTGATAAAATTCAATTCTATTTCTATACTATTTTTCAATCGTTTTTTTTTTGCTTTGTATATCGAGTAAATATTATTAGTAATAATAAAACTCGTAGAATAATGTTTTGATCTACCATGTTATGATTGTAACACGCGAGACGAATTCCGGTTATAAAAATTATCAGTCACACACGTTGTGTTAGTAATGTGTAAATAATATTGCTCTCTTTTTTCATCCATATCGAATTAAGTAAACTTCGGGCC